AGAATACTGTATCTTTTATGGAAAATTAGTGTTTTGAATGTAAGTTACTGAATATAGTATTGGTCTCTGAAAATGGTGGAACTAAAAGCAATTTTAAGAAGATTTAGCAAGCTGGCAAGGGGAGTTTTGCTGCCATGGACTTAGATTTGCATTAGTACGAAACTAATTGCTGAGCACTAGCCACACTTGACTAGTAGAGCTTAGATTACCTCGGGATAATAAGACATTCACCCGTGATTGCATTCTAGACTGTGCATTATATTTAAGTCTTATTATAAGAAGTTCTGTTTGCGTTTTATAGTACTAACTCCAAGCTGTTCAAGAATATACAGAAATGAAAATGTTATGATAAACAGTTGCGACATTTTGCGAACGTTTTTCACCAATTGTACGAGTATCATACCGATCAGAACACCAATAGTATATCGCTCCCTCTTTTCATTGAGTGTCCAGTCAGTATAATTCATGTAGCTTAGATTTTTCTGAAATGCCGGCCATGATTATTGATATGATTTTATTCCTCAACCAGAGGGTGATGGATAATAAGAGATAAATGCTAAATGATGGCATGTTACCTAACACTGAGCTAAAACTAGGTCGATAGGAATGGATGGCTGGGATAATTACAGCCATATCCAGGTGATAAAGAGCTATATAAGAATATGTATGGAGGACATAATTGAAGCTCTTTCCAGGTGATCAGAGGTATCTAAAAAGAATGGATTAACATGATTATTGAAGCACTGTCCAAGTGATATGAGATATGAAAGGGAAAGAATGGCTGGATGGGTTAAATGAAGCCCTTTCCAGTTGAATATAGGCACGTAAGAGAAAGATTGAACTGGCAAAGGTTTAAAACTGTATGCACTGTCTTTACATCAGTAATCACCATCATTTCAAGATGATATGAAGGGGGAAAACACGAAACATAGCTCAACTTTTCTAGGTCTTGTTTGCTCTGTGACTTACAGTTGCATTACTAAGTGCAAGGAAGTGTGATTACAAAAAACAGGAAAGACGTTCATTCTAAATTCATGTAGTATCAACACCATATTTTTTTTCTACATCATAAGATCATGTCCTACGTAAAATGAAGTAGCAGAGGCTTCCAATTCAACATACCCAGTCCTTTCTTACCTCATCTGTTGAATTCTTTGTGACAAGCAATAAATATCTAAGGCTAGAGAAATAACCAAACCACCACCACTTTAGCCCTTTTAGTTGCCTTTTCCGACACTCAAGAAGAAAGCATGTTGGGTGTATTGATTTCACACTGACACATAAAGAGGGGTTGCATTATAACCAATTTTGGACTTAACCTTAGTTCTAATTCTTTTCACATGAAGGTGCAGAAGTCCATGATAGGCGCTCCACTGTTTTCATTGTTTCGTTGTTGAAAAGATGAATATAAAGGAGCAGCATAGGATAAAGATGATCAGTATTTGATTGATGTTCAAAGGAATTGGTAGGTTGCAAGCTGGTACAGTCTACAGAAATATGAATTACCATCTCTATATTTATTTACAAAACCGCAATCCCTCTACTAAGGATGGTGGCTGAGTCAAAGTAAAATAACCACTCGTTAATGAGGCACTTGATATGGGGATCACTTCTCATGAGTTTTTTTTTTTTTTTTTTAAGTTGCTCTCCCAGTAGATACTAATGAAACACGTGTGTTCAATAAAGATTTGATGCTAATAGGTAGCATAGCAGGATTATTAACATGTTATGGTAATGAATTGGAGCTATGCAGAATAAACAATTCCTTATTATTATTGTTATTATTATTTTGGAGTTGAGTGATGCTTTGCACAGATAAAGGTAATGGCGCGGATAGACATATCGACAAATCTGGGAGACATTCTTCACGTATTTCTCGTGAAATAGAATCATAATATATATATATATATATATATATATATATATATATATATATATATACTATATATATATATATATATATATATATATATTATATATATATATATATATATATATATATATATATACGTATGTATAATTATGCTTTTAATATTAGTTTTGTTAATGTGGAGGTGCTGCATTTGTTAAAGTTGTTCTGCATATGAAACAGCAATAAAGTTCCCAATCTATCTCGTATTTCTTCTTCTTTTCTTTTCTTCCCCCTACTTCAACTCTTCTTATTCTTCTCCTCCTCCGCCTCTTCTTCTTTTACGCCTCCTCCTCCTCTTATTCTTCTTTTTCTTCATCTTCTTCTTTTTCTTCTTCACTGATGACATTCAAAGTATACGAACATCTCCCGTAGAGTCTTGCATTTTCACGCGGAAGTTCCTCCTCGAATTGATACTGCACTGTGAATATGTACAAATCGGAAATGACACACAAATATATGAATATATATATATATGAAAAAAATTGCTTCGAATATTAGCACCTTGACTGATATTTAATCAGAAAGCAAAAGAGAATATAAATTTATTTGCCACGTCACTGAAATTTCAAAAAGCCAAAATCAAATTTGGACTTCGAATGTTTCGTGTGCGCGCGCGCATGAAAAGACGACCGCTTGCTGGCCCATTGCCCCTACAATGCCTCAATTGACCTTCAATTAATCACAGCTGTTTGGGTGTGTTACCCCTACCCGTCTGCGAGTCATCCAGACGTAGTCTCAGTTATTTGGTCATACAGTCCATGCGTCCTCTGAAAATGCAAATCTCTCATACAATAATAATAATAACGACGATGGTAATTATTATTATTATTATTATTATTATTTTTATTATTATCATTATTATTATTATTTCCAACTAGCTCTCACAAGGAAGACGGCATTATTATCATCATCTTGCCCTCGTATCACATTAAGCCACTTTCACTGGGATATCCCTTTCATTCGTCTCCATCGACGTATAAGATATCCGAAGAGACTCACCACCATTTATAATAATAATAATAATAATGAGGGCTCAATTAACTACCTTTGAACTCGAGGATATATTTCCATTGGATATCAGTGGAGTACTCTATCTGCTGAGTTGGCAGGGGTTATGAGATGACACAGAACACTGCTAATCCTGCAAGATCCTAGTTATGGCCAAGTAGACTCACGTTTTTGCCATTGAATGATGAAGACTCGAACACGGACCCACTTGGTATGGCAAACAGATTTCATATAATTTAAGGTAGATTGATGAATAGACGGATTGATTGGAGAGAGAGAGCATTATTCTTTAAGAATCGGTATTGCTATTTTGTTGACAATTAAGTTTCTCTCTCTCTCTCTCTCTCTCTCTCTCTCTCTCTCTCTCTCTCTCTCTCTCTCTCTCTCTCTCTCTCTCTCTCTCTCTCTCTCTCTCTCTCTCTCTCTCTCTCTCTCTCTCTCTCTCTCTCTCTCTCTCTCTCTCTCTCTCTCTCTCTCTCTTACTTTTCCAGTGCCTCATCCCAAGTTTAGTTCGACTGTAGGGATAAATTCAGTTGTTAAAGATGTTGTCTTGGTGTTAGGTACACCTAATACTCTGGTTGAGTCATTAAATTAGTTTTAGCATGGAAGAATTGGGGTTGGAGAGAGAGAGAGAGAGAGAGAGAGAGAGAGAGAGAGAGAGAGAGAGAGAGAGAGAGAGAGAGAGAATATTAAGTAAATCAAGGAAGAAAATATTATATAGAAAGGGATAATTCATTATTATTCCTGGCCTTACGAACTTTGATTTTTTTCTCTCTTGGCATTTGCTATTCATTATTCCTGCCCATCTAATGATGTCTACTTGCTCCGCATGGACGGTGGATTTCTATGCTATGCATTCTTTTCCTCTTAATGTGCTGCATCGTAATCATTTAAAAAAAAAAAAAACGGGAGAGGTATTTTTGTGGACTTTTACCCAGGGTCCTCATACTGACTATATGTACAAAAGACTGCATGAAGTTCCTGGATTTGTTTTTTCTTTTTTGCAAGTTCATTACATTTAAAGAGGCCTTTACTGATCCAGTACATTTAAGAAGAACATTTTTATTCAAAATTACTTCTAGAAATAATATTATTGTGCGTAGCACTTGTTGTTGTAAATGAACTTTAGACGAACTTACCCCGATTCATTACATTCATCGTCGCCAATCATCGAAATGCATTTTTATTATTCTAGCCGTAGATAATTTTATGTAAAAAATTATTCCAAATTTTCTGTGTTCTCTAGGGCTACATTATCTGTAACTGAAAACGCCCTCCATAGAGATACACCAACTCGAGCATCTCTTTAGTATTCCGTACCTTCACTCACCCAAGGTCCAGAGGCATAACCCCCTGATGCATAGCTGTATTTATGTATACAAGTAACGTTCCTCTAAACAAGGCTTTCTATCTTAGTCCCTTCGAGAGGTAGAAGGGTAACCAAGTTGGGGTAGACAATAGGAGCAGAATCCCATAACGTGTTACAGTGTTTCCTCATACCGCATCCCCTCACGAGGTTCTGCAAGTGAGTTCCTGCTTCCTCGTCCGTTTGTTATTCGACACGCGAAGGTGCAGTGATTTATTCCACTGTATTAATTAATTTCATCCTTTCTTCATCTCATAGTAGTGACTGCTCACTCTAGGATAATGCAGGATACCACATGACTTTTAAATAATACGAATTGCTGATCAATATAGCAATAGTATTATTGAGAAAGTAAATTATTTTGTAATTCTTGAAGTGTATTTGTCTTAAACGTTCCGTTTTTTATCTTGAAACTTTAAAATAATACTTAGAGGAGGAAACGTTTATAGGTATCTGCCTCGTTGTATTCTCTGGTTTCCCATGTGCGATACTATAATCATGAGACTAGTGAAGATATGAGATAAATAACTACATAAATCAGCACCGAAAGTCTTTAGATAATAATGATAATAATAATAATAATAATAATAATAATAATAATAATAATAATAATAATAATAATAATATATTTTCTAATAGTCAACATCCTACTGTCGAAATTCGAACATGGGACCTCCAGAACAGTAGTCCTAAGCTTAGTGCTAAGCCATTGATACCTCTGTGGCTCAGTACGCTAAGCTGTGGACTCCTGTTCTACAGATCCCAGGTTCGAATCCCGACAGTAGAGGAAGAATATTCGGAAAAAATATTTTAAAATATATAATTGAGTAGTTACAATACACTGTTCTATCAATAATAATAATAATAATAATAATAATAATAATAATAATAATAATAATAACAACAACAAAACTTATCATGAAAATTCAATAACTTTTGCTGGTCATTATGTCGCGGAATATGAAAAGAAAAAAAAAAGAGAAAATGCTTAATCATCAAAACAAGCCAGTAATGACGATTACAGTGGAGGTACTCGTACATTTTCGTCTAAAGTCGCATTTTTTTCCAGATAATAGAATCCAAACATAGGCAAAAATCACCCCATTCTGTTCTCGTTCAGTAGCTTATGGTATACGAGCGTCCACCACTATCTTACCACTTCTATTGGAGGAGTACTCATTAAACTTGATAAGTTTGGCTGGTGGTAGGAGTGGACAAACGCTATTTCTATCCCTTTCACAACCTCGAGATGATTAAGTGACTCTCTCTCTCTCTCTCTCTCTCTCTCTCTCTCTCTCTCTCTCTAATAGTGCGTAATGATTTAGGACCAACCAGTAATAACAAGAGGGATGCTGAAGTGGGCGTCTCCATACTTCCTGGTTTGTCTCGCGACCCCAGCTCTCAGCCTGGTTCTTGCAAGTGCAACTTACCATTCTTTGTAGCAGTAGATGTATGTATTACTTAATTGTACTTATCTCATTGAGCTAACGGAAATGAGCTCTACTCTTGTACCTCCCTGTCTCCTAGCCAGTATTATATTTTATAATTTCTAGTCACTAACACTTATCATAACTATGCTTAAAACTATGTATGTATGTATGTAAGTATGTAATTACCTAATTGAGCTTACGGGAAAGAGTCCTATATTCGTCACTCCCCGTCTCCTGGTCGCTTCCATTTTCGTATTCAGTGATCATTATCATATTTGTCCTTAAAACTATGGACTGAGTTAGCATTAACTACCTCCTCGCTTAGCAATTTCTATTCATCAACTACTCTTACACTAAAAGAGTACTTCCGTACATCCTGCAAAGAAGTTTTCTTACGAAGCTTCCAACTATGACCTCTAGTTCTAGTGCCAACCATATCAAAATATCGATCCCTATTCACTCTGTCAAAACCATGATGCAATTTAAAAGCCGTCACCATGTTCCCCCTCATTTCTGCAGTATATCTGCATACTATGTGCTCGACTCCGGAGTTAGTAAACTCGAGATCGAGGCCACCATGGGACGATAGGAAGGGTGTCCAGTCTTAATTCCCCAGCCACACTTTCTCAAGGTTCAGCTGTCGGATTGATCCCACTGACAGGCTGATAAGCCTATCTGGGAGTGGGAACTTAAACTCGTATATGTTTTCTCTAAGTAATCTTTGCTCCCAGATTCACCCCTACACCTGTTCCTTTTCTCGTTGTGCTTTAGAAGGAGGAAGGAGATGTGATGGGGTTTGTCTCAAACCCAACCTCAGCTAATCCCATCATATCCACTTTAACATACCATGACCACAGGTAAACCTCAAACACAGAGATACTGAAACCTCCGATGTGGATATTTGTATATAGTATTCTATTTGTTTGTTTCTTATTGAGTTTTTGCGAAGTAGATTAATAGTTTTTAGTCCTTCACACACATATGATAAACCAGACAGCTAAGTGAGAATCAGAGAAAAGTAAATGAAGATTATAAAAATAAAGTCTGTTAAGAGGCTTTTAATCTTCAAACTTCTTTCCCATCATTAAGGTCTTCATTATTTTGACTATTCTTTCAGCCTGCCTCTTTTATGTTTATAAGTCTCATATTTCTGCCTTGTCCATAAGCTGCCACTTTTTCTTAATTGTTTTCTCAGAGCTCGGGCCCGTTAAGGACAATTTTCTTTACCTGTCTTGGTGTAAAAAAAAAATGCGCTTTTTTCGCGAACCATAAAACTTACTAAGATTGAAAATATAGTTGTAGACTATCCTGTTTGTAGAAGGACTTTGTATTTCGATATTTATGTAAAGTTGTGGTGATAAAAATAAATATTTTATGTATCTAGGAGCACACGCATTGAGAACAATTTATATATCTGCGGCCTATTCGAATCATATTAACCATTTTTTTTCTTAGTTTTATGTCATTATAAGTCACTGAAATTGCATATAATCATTATCCTGTTGCTGTATTCGATAATAATCATATCTCGACTGAACAAAAATTAGTTATGATATTTAGTATATGCAGTATTAACGTAAATAATTTGAATACGAATATATGAGTGCTAGATGTCCTTAGGTATGCTTTCATATAATTCATTCTCGTATATCTGCCTTGTCCTAAATCTGCTACTTTTTTCAATACATTATTTCCATTGGTGCTCGGGCCCGATGAGGGCCATTTCCTTTGTCCCTCCAGGTGTCACACTCATAATGAATAGTGTATATATCGTCACAAAGGGCAAACAACTCCTGTGTGCTTTGAAAATGATTAAAAATAGAATGTTACAGCTTACATTAAAATCTACAAACAACACTGCCTTGTTTAAAAAACAAATAGAAATGAATATTCATTGTAAAGCCACAAAACGGGTATCCTGTGTCATTGGATAAATTAACATTTATGAATATCATTGAGTATGAACCCATATGGGACCGCCGTAGCGTACTCTGTAGAGTGCTTGACTCGGGAAGTGATAAGGCTGCGCTGTAGGCCTCGGCAGGGCGATAAAAAGGGCAGCCAGCCTTAATCCCCCAGCTTCAATTTATCTAGGGCTAACTCCAAATGGGGACTAGTCGTGACACATAGAAGTTATAAATTGTAAGGAAAGAAATGAGGATCAGAACATTCTGAAAAAGTTAATCTTAGATTTTAAAACTGACAAAATCTTTTACAGTGCTTGTTTTTCCATATTTATACAGAGGCTTCATTCCCTTTTGTAGCAGGGTGGCCGAGCCAACGAAAATACATTCGCCACATTTCAAAACATACCTCAATTGCTCCTCTTAGCGCCTTGGGGATAAAGGGTTGCCACAGTTCCCCACTACCATCCTCCTTGGGTCACCCACAAGATAGGCGGACAAGGATATTCTGTAATGAGCCCAACAGCCGCAGCTGGTTTACTCCTACCACTTTATCACATGGTAAACTCCCACACCCACCAGTCCCAGTTAACTGTGGTAGCAGGTGCGAGAAATCCCTTTGACCCGCATCAGGTACACTTATTCTTCCTCCACGCATTTCTATCGTGCACGCTGTCTTCCCTGCTCCATTGACATTTCGCATGCATCCAGTGCTTTTTTCACGCCATCCACCCATCTCATTCTAGGTCTTCCTAGCTTTCTTTGAACACCTGCGCTTGTTAAAAGATAGAAATAATTTTCCTAAAGCACTGGCTCGTCTAATTTCCATAATTTTACTCTCATTTCAGTTATTTATTAACTTTTTTAATGCATAGTTTTATTTATTTCTTTATATATTGTATACATTCTGGTACCGCCAAATATTCGTTTTGAATTCATCTTTAATTCACTGATGAAAATTGTACTTCATGATCTTGGGTAGCAAATAGCAGCAAACATCTCCATTCGTGTGATAATGCAACTACTATACTAGCAACTGTAATATGAAACCAAGATAAGTATTCGGAATATCTTGTTGGGCTCTTCTGTACCTGTAGGAGGCAAGAAAGTGGCTTTTGTCTCATTCTATTTCGTCTTTTCTGTTTTCGCCCACCGCAATAGATACGAGACAGAACGTGATGTAACTCTGAGCTTTTCTTCGAGTATTAAATGCAATATTTCATTTGCTATTTACAGTGGGATTATTCAAAACAACAGCGTGTATATTGCCTGAAGGTTATATCATATTTTTTTATGTATGCACTGAGGATGATGATGATGATTATGATAATAATAATAATAATAATAATAATAATAATAATAATAATAATAATAATAATAAAAGAGCTCAGACCGGATGGCATGAGGTTATTAACAGGATATAAATGCATCTTAAAACGTGATGGGCGAGTGTTAAGGACAAAAATGACGTATAGTGTGATCCTCTGAATATTAAAATAAAGGCGAGCCTCACGTCCAATGGCTGTATTATAAAGTTCCTTAAACAGGACGGAAGGAGTTGTAGTTGGTGGGTTAGGATATTTGCTAGGGCCAGGATATCTGCTAGTTTTATGATGTGTGGGTGTTATACTAAATCTCTCTCTCTCTCTCTCTCTCTCTCTCTCTCTCTCCTCTCCTCTCTCTCTCTCTCTCTCTCTCTCTCTCTCTCTCTCTCCACACCCACACACACACACCAGCAATCTCAGTTATGATGAGAGGCTGAGGGAATTAGACTTACCGTCACTCGAAGCTAGAAGAGTGAGGGGGGATATGGTAACAGTCTTTAAATTCCTTCATGTTTATGATAGAGTGGATAGGGATCGATATTTTGATATGGCTGGCTCTAGAACTAGAGGTCATAGTTTGAAGCTTCGTAAGAAAACTTGTTTGCAGGATGTAAGGAAATACTTTTTCAGTGTAAGAGTAGTTGATAATTGGAATTCGCTAAGCGAGGAGGTAGTTAATGCTATCTCAATCCATAGTTTTAAGGACAGGTATGATAAGTATCACTAAGTATAAAATGGAACCGATCAGGAGACGGGAAGATACGAGCTTTGGGCTCTTTCCCGTAAACACAATTAGGTAATCACAATTAGGTAATCACACACCTGCGCTTGTTGAAAGATAGAAATAATTTTCCTTAAACACTGGCTCGTCTAATTTCCATAATTTTACTCTCATTTCAGTTATTTATTAACTTTTAAATGCATAGTTTTATTTATTTATTTATATATTGTATACATTCTGGTACCGCCAAATATTCGTTTTGAATTCATCTTTAATTCACCGATGAAAATCGTACTTCATGATCTTGGGTAGCAAATAGCTACCCAAGGAGGGCTTTTGGTGCAAGAGTATTCAAAGGGGGGAGGAGTTAAGATACGGTAGGTGGAAGGGAGTTCAAAGGGGAGGTACCT